ACTTGCCAAAGTTATCTGCAGAGGACTGTGTGGCTATTCTTTTATTCACTTTTCCTTTTTCTCCCATTTAATTTCTCAGAGATAGTTCTAGTCTCATTTCAGAACACACATGGTAACATCTAGTTTGTCGTAGCTTATCATTTGTTCTACATGGCATGTATAGATTCAACTGCAATTTGACTCAATGGATGAAATTGGTGTGAATTAGAGCAAGATGAATTAAGTGTCTGTGGCTATATTAAGCAGACATTCAGCTTGAACATCAAGATCTTCATTTTGTGTCTGTGATTCAGTGTTGTTGTAAGTGCTTCTCCACTCAGACTCAAACAGTGCCAAGTCAATAAATAGCACAAAAAACGGGAGAGACGGGCAGATTAAATGTTTTCATATACACATGTCAATGCAACACTCGCTTCTTTGCATTTGTTAGTAAATTATGTCTGTATATAATGATAACAAAGATGTTTTTACTCCATTAAAAAGAGTGTATTTAAAGGATTGAAAAGGGAAAAGGTTTGAATATTGTATGTGTCACATTGGCATAGTAATCAGTTCCAACAAATTTTTCCACTGTATATGCCTAATACTGTTAGGTGATTTGACTTGCACCATACAGCCAAAATGGTCTGTACATCTTGTTGGCAATACAAATGAAGCAATTTTACATACTTGTTAAAAAATTGTTTTTGGTATTAATGGTCGGATATGTATTACTCTTTAAGTGTAATTTTATTAGCTTCATATAATTCCAAATTTTCTAAAATGCTTTTGTGATGAAAAGAACATTAAATATAGATGCTTTCTGAAACCTGACATCCATAAACATTGGTGAACAATGTTTAATATCGAATGAAACATATTCAGCTGTGGTTTACATCAAAATCACGAAGGGACCATTGTGCTTTAGTTGCACCTGATAACAGTAATCAGTGATGTAAATATTTTAGGAAGAAAAGATTTATTAAGTCGTCCATTAAAAGCATATTCTTTAATTATGCTGAAATCTAGAATTAGAAGTAGAAAAGGCTGAATAGTTCAGAGTTTGTTTATATTTTGCTGATGGATAAGGGACCAATTTTCTTACTTTGTGTAATCTTCATGTATGTGTGATTTGGTTTGACTCATAAATTTGAGTTATGCTCAAGGCACATTTACAAAAAAAAAACAAACAAAAACAAAACAAACAAAAAAAGCTATTTGAGAAACTGTATTGTGGAAAGTGTATATATACCTAATCCATCAGCTATTAAGCATTTATCAAATTTTAACAGTAGCTTATTTGATTAGTTATTTTTAGTGGATGGAGTTTTGAAATTTCAGAGAGCTTTTGTAAGTGTGAGATAACTTTCCTGAATTCAGATTTTTCAGTTGTTTTTTTGTTTGTTTTTTTAAGACAAATGTGTAATGTCTAATTAAAGGGAATAGTTAATTGTTGAATTGATGTTTAATTTAGTGGATTTAATGTGTTAATTAATAACTTAATTACAGTAGAGAGGTGGTTTCATTTCAGGATTTTTTTCTATTTGATATTGTGAAAATAGGTTACCCTTTGTTTGGAAGCGCTTACGTTACTCTTAAATATTTTACTATAGGCTGATATGACCTTGAAACATGCATTTGACTTCAATTGTTGTATACACTCCTTTGTTATGTTTGTCAGTTTTTAAGAATCAGTGTATAGTCTAATACAGTGTTTACATCAAGTCATTATTTCTAAATTGTGCATACCAATGAAACTGTGGAGGGTATTGCTTTTGAGTGATTCTGAATTCTTCCTGGTATATTCCAATTTTAAAACTGAATTTCATGTTTGCTTATATTTTATCTCGATGTAATTTAATTAGTATTATTCAAGAACAAATGGAAACATGTGAATGAAACTTGTATAAGAAAGGAAAAGTGTAAATGAGAACACATTTGGATGTATCTCTTTAGGATTTATCAACCTAATAAATCCATTGCAGTAATTACGTATAATTCTTTTTTGTTACCTGCATACTAAGACACTGGAGAAACTCTTGTGCATTAGAACTGAGGAAATGGATATAGGCCTTATGTTTGAAATTCTGACACTCTTCTAACTTTTTGTTTATTTTCTCATTTTGCAAATATACACATTGTACTGACTTTTATTGTTGTTTGGGGATCAGTTGTTATTAGAGTATAATGCACTCATAATTAGATGGAGTAAATGTAATATCATTGTTTTTAAAGAATTTAAAAAGGGTTTTACTGGCATAAGTGTTTTAATTACTAAGTAACTTATTAAATTTTTAACTTATTCATATAACTTGTTACTTATTTTTATTTATTTTTTGTATATAACTCTTAGCTTTGTTCTCTAAGCACCCAAGGGACATTAATCCATCTCCTGTATTTTTTATTTTTCCCCATTCCTTTCCTTGCCTCTCACATTGCCCATCATGCTGCTTCTACACTGTCTTAACACTAATATTTTTATTTCATGTCAAACCTAATTTTAGTACATGGAGAGGTCAAAATTGGATTGAGCTAAAATTATACTAAACTTTGTTGGGAATCATATAATATAGATTATAGCTTATAAACCAGAGTTGTTGGTTTTTAATATTCCTGTTAATTAATTAGGCAGTTTTTGGCAGTTGAAAAGATGCTTTGAGTTAGTGTACTTGAAAGATAAGGAAGTTAAGAACCAGTGTCTAAAACTAGTGAGAGCGACTTGAAGACAAATTACTTTTTACATTGATTCATTAACTCTCCCGACTTCATGCCAGCAGTAAATTAGTACAGCTAATAAGTAAGAAGATCTGTTGTTATAATGATTTTCATGAAATGTATATTTTTGCATGCTCTGATTAATGAAGTGGACTTTGAAGTTTGTACTTGCTAATAAGCTAGACATTTTTAAATAAATACATGTTATTGAGGTTTTGGAAATGTAGAATATAATGCCAAACCTCTCTATTATGCAACTTTGGAATTACTTCACAGAAAAGACTATTTCAATATACATTTTTATTTGAAACCTCTATTTCCATATTTGAAAATTGATAAGTATTATATAAGTAGTGACTATCCAATTTAATGTTCTTTTTCTTTCCCTCTGTTGGCTCTAACTCAGATTTGGATTGGGATGAAGGTGGGTGTTTTTATAGAGTTTATAAAAATAAATAGAAAGATGTGTACGTACAAGGCGATAAAGAATATGCGATTAACATTTGAGGGAACGAAAGGATGCTTCAATACAAACCAGAACATCTCTTCAGTCTAACTGGTTCTGGTCAAATTATACTTTTTGCAGAATTGATGACAAAATTCCACATTTTTAGATTCCTGTTTGTCATCGAAATAAAGTGCAGATTTGTACAAGCTAATAAATATTTCATTAACTTTTTTGTATTATGCATTCTCTAGATAATTATTAGTTTACTCTCATAATAAGGATGTTTTTGGTTTAATTTGTGGCCTTTTTCTTCATAAAATTCTTTTTTATCACCTTGTATTTATGTGTCTACTTAAATATTGTATATGGTGTCTATATGTACAATATGTATATTTTGTCCATATTGCACATATAGTTTAGATACAAGTATGAATGTACCTTTTTAAATTATTATTATTTTATAATTTTTTAAGAATATTACTACATTAGTGAAGTGTCACTTTTTAGATTGTAGGTTAATAAACTGTAAATTAGAAAACAGCCAAGCTAGATAAACCATGAATATATTCTTGTTGAGATTGTCTGTAATCGAGAGTTTATTATGAAAATGTATAGTTATTTTTTAATATTATAGAGTTTGCTTTACTCTTCCTTCAAAGATTCCATTGCAGTTTCTTGATCTTTTAAAATTTATTTCTTTATTTGTTACTAATTTATGGGGCATATAAATGACAACAATCAAATAATAGAATTATTTATTTCTCAATTTTGGTTTTCGATACTGAATATATTACAACAGTTGTTTGTTCAACTATCCTTTTGTCATATAAAATGTTAAACGTGGGTAATGAAGGCACAATGAGGATAACAGATTAATACTGGGCAACAAATTCACTGTCAAGATGTTGAACCATTTTATTTGCTATAATATGAAGTGTGCTAGGATGCTGCTGCTTGTATTTGTGGGTTTTGAAAACAGAAGCATCTTGGACAATTTAAGTATATGAGTAATATATGAATCATATTTGCTTTCATAAATTTGTGAAAAATTGTTACAATATTTGGAGAAGTCCGGGAGTACATTGCTGGTTTATTGAGCACTGCTTTCAACATAAGTAGATAACAATTGTCTTGTTTCAGTACAAAAAAAGCTATTTAGAGAAATATGATTGTAACACAAAAGAATTTCTTCTGCAACGTGTGTAGGACGTGTGCGCAAGTGTATATGCGAGTGTGCATGTGTATGCATGTGTGTGTTGTGTGTGTTGTGTGTGTAGAGCACATTTCCAAGAATTAGTTGCACACTTTTTGCCACTATAATGGACATTAAAAAAATGTAATTTTAATTTTCTCATGCTAGGTCATATACTAGTGGATTTCCAAAATTTCTGCACTCGAAAATCAGAATTAACCTATCAATTTTGAACACTCCTGAAACTAAATTCAATAGTGCTTCAAAACTTGCAGATCTTTTGAATCAAAACTATTTTATTATGAACTAAAAATACCACTATATTGACATCGTTCCCCAAAGAGCATTCTAACATGCCAATTTCTTCTCTCCAACAAGATCGGTAAATCCTTCTAAGATACATTTCTTTCAGTATTGGTGTGAAAGGGAGAAAGTATTCAATTAAAAAATGTGTAATCTATTTTTTATTATATAAATGTTTCACATTTAATGCAAACTTCTTATTCAGTTATTTGCATATTAAAGTATTTTGTGTTAAATTTTTCTCTAAGAAAATTGGGAGACCCCTGAGAACTTAAGGCTTTATTCTCTTGTTTTTTAGTTTAATGAAAGAATGTAAGTAATAAGTTTTATCCAGGAAATTTATAATGGTTTCCTACTTTATAGGGCTGGTTGTTCCACAACCTGGACCTCCTGCCAAACGACCCAACAAAGAAGTTGGACCTGTACGAGGATTGGAGGGATTTCCATCGATGATGGGTCGATCAGTTATCAATCATTTAAATGGGAAAACGAAGATTGCCACTATGACTCGTTCTGGCAGTGGAAGAAAACAAGTGATCTCGTGGATGGATGCACCCGATGATGTGTATTTTCGTTCAACCGAAGGAACCAAGTAAGTTTGCTAAGACTGGGGTATGCAATTGATTTGAGTTATATAACATTACTATTTGTCATGGTGTATTTTGAATTAACATTTATTCTATGCTACACCATTCTATGTTTTTTGTTTGTTTAATAATTTTTCTAATCACAGTGATAGGTTTTAGTATATTCATTCATGTTTTTATCAATTCTCACAAAGTGGTGTATGTCCTTGAAAAGTTAGTGAAATAGCTTTATTCGAGCTATTATCTTCTTTGTTAGTTGACAAAACTTTATATACATGCTCTTTCATGGTTGCTATTTACATATGGTGTATTAAAGATATTGTGGTCAATGAATATGTTGTGCAAGTTTTTGTGCCTTTATAACACATCAAAGAAATGGAAAAAACAAATATGTTGCACGTTCAAATTGCAAGAGTTGAAAAATCAAAGGGTAATTGAGCGAATTGTTATGAACGGCCTGCTTTTTTTTATCACAACTCATCTGACATTCTTTCACCTTTATTCTGCACAATTCTCAGCTTCTGCCTTTTGGCTCTGGCTCATCGTCACAAGGATGACTGGGGTATCAAGGGGGCTTTCGATTTCTTGGATGGTCTTCCATAAAAGCATGTCTGTGAGATGAACAGTCTTAGAATTCATGATTGATGAACTTTGTTCTGGACTGTTGCTCTTTGACAATACTGAATGGTTGAGGTCTTATAAGAAATGTTTTTTGATGATCCTTATTGTACTTGGTTTGTTTGGTTCCATTATTCATATAGTATACATTTTTTGCGAGATTGTACTGTATTCTATTAAACCTCATACTATACTTGGCTTCTTTTAGACATATTTTATTTGTATTTTTCTGAATATTTGTGGTTCAGAATCAGACTTTTAGATATGCCTTTGTTAACTTATCAAGAAAAAACCAAACCATTTTCATGTATTTTCCAAATTGTATTAATGAAGATATTAATTTTCTCAATACATTGTCTCAGAACAACTTAAGTCTGTTATTTACACATTCCCTTTTGAAACAACTTCTCATGAAGTTTCCTAAATGGCCAGTATTTAATTTTTTCGTCTCGAATTAACTTTCACTATCTCTTACAAATATATCTGAAGCATTAAGTATCAAAAATGAAGACTGTCTAGTGTAGGTTATTCTTTATATAAACTAAGGGTATTTTTTTATTTATAAATTAGTTTATTTCTTAAATTATTGAAAACTACTTACTGAAGGTATCCTTATAAATAATCGTTCATTTCCAGTCTGTTTACTTCCATATGTTCCATTTCCTGCTGTTATAAGGCAAACTTTGGGGTGCAAAAAAACAACAAATATATTGTTGATAGCCTTTGTATCATATATCCTCTTTCTATCGAATGGGAGAGTGGGACATCTCTGTGTCTTTAATTGTGGTTCCAAACAGGAAAATATGTATATTATATTGTGAGAAATGAAGAAGCAAAAGAATTTTTCTGCTTATTTTTTATCTCGACTTCCTGCTATCTTTTTCCTTATAAACTTTTTGGAAAGGTGTTCTGAATTTCCTTTTATTTGTATCACAATGTATGCCAAAAATGAGCCTGTGTGTGATAAATTAAGTATGTAGTGTTAATGTTCGCTTATCTTATATTTTTACACATCTTTCTACCAAATAATTTGCATAATTTTCAGTGAAAATTTTTTTCACTCTCTCCCTTCAAACTGGTAAAATGGTAATATTGTAATGTGAAATGCCATATTTATTTCAAAATTTATCTTGGCAAATTTTATTCTTGTAACATACTGTATGTAATCCTATTCCAATGTTAGTTATGGGACTCTACTGTTACCTGAAGTATCTTTGCTTTGTTGTATTTCAGGAAAATGAGAAGGCAGTTGACGGGAACGGAGCTTCGTCGAGCTGCCAGGAAACCGTGGCGAAAACTTAATGTTAAGGGAATGGATGAATTAGTGGTGATATTGGACTGACATAGTGACTCAAGCATGTGCCAGTGAGATGAGATACTCACAAAAAACAAATATTGAACTTCCTATTTTGGAAGTGGAAAATTTCGTCTCTCATAGTGAAGAAACAAAAGTCACAGGAAATTTGGCATGCTGGACAATTGTGATAAGTACTGCCAAACCTGTGAATTCTAAGTGACTGAGCTAAATTGAAGAGACAAACTGAATCATGAAGGCAATAACTTGATGTGCTATATATAGTAGATACTCTGCAGCAAGTTTTTTAACTTCTGCACAAACGATCCTGTTCCCCTTTCCCAAGAATCGTTTTATGAAGACTGTGAATTTTGATGACACTTATCCTGAAGGTTGTACAATTTGATTTCATTTCAACTGGATATGTGGATCTACATTACAGCATGGGGACTGATAAAAGTATTTTCGTGATTTTCCTCCCATTGTTTCCCAGTTGCTGAGAGATTCATATATTTTATTGGCCAAACAAATAATCGCAGTAATGAATGTTCTATCTCTCAATTCATTCCTTTAATTTCAAAGAATAATTGGAAAGCGAGCTTGCTACCAGTGTGAAACCAGAGGTGGGCAGAAGAAATGGTGTTCTGATGTGATACAACTTGAGAAGACAGCACTCTACGTTTTGCTCATGATGCACATTTTTTGCAGCACAAATTAAATACGTAATTTTTCTTCCAACAACTTATACATCTGGTTTGGATTGGTGCTCACTTAAACAAACTACGGCAGTTGCCAGATTTGTGCCAGTGTTGCCAAATGGAATTGTTTTTGTTAAGTTGTAACATCATGCTGTAATCAGCATTCCTGAAATACGAAGATTTGTCTGAATATTGCTTGAAATTGTTCAAGTGTTTCTCTGTGAACTTGCCTGCTCGTGTGTAGATAGGATGGGGTTTGGTCTTTAGTGGGTTCAAACCTGAACATTTGTGAGACTTGGAGGAACTGAGAATTGTGAAGTCTGTTGTACTGAAGGACATCAGTTTTTATCTGTTTGGAATGACACTGAAGTCTACATAGGTGCGAAGTGTTTCTTTTCCATCTTTGTTTCACTTAACTACATAATTCACCAAATGAACACAATGCTACACGACGTGAACAAGACACAGCACATTTTCACTCTGCTGTGCTTTCTCAGTCATAAGTTATCTTCCAAATGTTGACAGTCTTTACACTTACAATGCAGATTTGCACGAGTGATGCTATAATGGGGTATAGTACTAAAACTCCAACTCAATACGTAAAAAATTTTTCAAAAGCTATTACGATATTCGAGTTTCTGTTTTCTTGTTAAATAAAGTCCTGTAGATTGAACAATGTTTCACGTTTTGGGAACTGTTTCTTAAAATTAAAATTGAAGGAACCATGTTAGAAACAGAAGAACAAAAACTTTGTTTTCAAGTATTGTTATTTCATATTTGACTTTAGTCTGCGATAGATATTTTCTTTTCAAGTTATTAAATCATACTCAAATGTATGATTGGATCAAAATGTTACCTATTTTACTTGGCTTGTTAGTTTGTATAATTACAAGTTGAAGTTTGGACAAATGCCAAGTCACATTTGTCATCACTTGTACCAATAATTTCTCTGTAAGATTGTGAGAACAGCACAATTGGCCAGTGGTGTGTGCTCTCTTTGAGCAGAGTACCTAGAGCTGGCTGTGCCAGTATGGTACATGCTCATTTCTAAATGCAATCCCTCAAACTAATCTGTTCCATGCCTTGCAGAAGGTTTGGTTACAGACACGAAAAATAAATGAGATCTGTGTTAACGTATCCTGTGTATCTCAGTATGCCAGACATTAAATTATTTTGCCCTTATCTGTAATCCAGTCACTTTACCCATCCTGGCATCACTGCTACTTAGCTGTCAATACATACTGGGTCCATTATTTTGTACTAAGCTCTATCTGTCCATTGCATCAAAGGTTTTGTTTACATCAGGCCTGATGTTTTTCATGGTACTGTGTACTTATATTACTGAAAAATAGAAATCGCAATTTATAAGTAATTATCTCATTCCCATATCTTCATAATGTTAAAAGGTGTTTTTCTTTTTGCTCACCCAATTTTTCATTGTCATGTTTTATATTGTACAAAGTGGTCTAAATCAAAATGTTTCTGAAATGACTGACATTAAACATGGAAAGACATTTGAATAATTATATTGCTGGTTATTACTGCCCCTGTGATATTATATTCCATGTTGTGGCACATGGAATTCATATAGCTTGATGTGGCAGGTTGGCTTGTTTGCTGTACCAGAAAAACGTGGATTCTTGTGAAAAGTTGATGTATGTTGCCCTCTAATATTCTGTTGTGGAATAAGGCACTTTTAATTTTGAATTCAGGTAAATGCTTTGTTTACTCTTGTGCATACAGTTTCTTATAAAATATTTCACCACATTAGAGCAAAGCAGAATTCAGCCGTGCCACAACAGTTGTTCTGCATACTGACTCTTCATGAAAAGACTTACTGGTGTTACAAGTATTGACAAAGTGCATAACATTTGCAACAGGGAAAAAAATTTACCCTGCCCCATGTAGGTTTTAAAAAAATTAATGATTGTGAGAGTTGTTATTGGTATCTTCAAACAAGATAAGTGTGAAATATTCCATACTACTTGCAACTTATGTTTATTATTTTGGATTGTTAGGAATAAAAGTTGGGATGCAGATTTTTATTTATGAATGTAAAATACAGAATCTATTGATTCTATTCCATTATATATATTCATTCATTCGTCAGACTTCTACTTTGCAAACATTTTCTGATGAATGTATGGAATATTTAAACACAATTAAATTATGTAAAATTTGTATTGATTCTCAGTGTCAATTGCAATAACAAGTTCTGGTTACATAAATCTATTCTTACACAGCAAATTTCAGTAGAGAGGGCAATCGTAGCTACACAAGTGGTTTCAAGTGTGATTATCATGATTTGATGGGAGAAGAGGATGTTCAGATATGCTGCTAGTCGTCTTGTTTTGTTATTGCTGTCAACAGAGGTGCATGAATATTTTTTTTTATTTTTATTTTTTTTTTCACATTCCATCACCTATTGTATTGTAAAGGAATTGATACTTTTTTGAAAATGCATGCATTTTTATAACAGTTACGGCAATGTGTGACATTATTATCTTATGAATGTTGAAAATTAATTGCCTTTCCAAATATTTTGACAATGCCCTTTTCCTATTATATGCATCTAGGCACAATCTTTGTTTACAGAGCCTTTTCCCTCTGCATTTACGTAAAATATGAGTTTGCTGATAACATAGAAACATGTGAACGTTTCTAAAATACTTAATCTATGGATCAAATTGTCAGATTCAACTGAAGTACATTTTTATAAATGTTTCATATTCTTGTGAATATCATATAACTAGTTTTGGGAAATATTTAAAAGTTTGCATTCTACTTGTTGCAAATACTTCTCAGAATCTAATACATCAAAATGTAAATGCAAACTAAAGGGCAATCCTTTCATCCTCTTTATTGCAATCCTACATTTTGTTTCCTTTGCCTCCAGTTGCAGAATAATGAAAACTGAAATACAATTTAGCTTTGCAAAACCAGAAACGGGTACAATTACAGTGTAATTAATGTTTACTAATATAACAATTTTACTGTGAAAAATTGTACGTTCAGAAGCTCTGGTATACAGAGATACTATTCCGTTAATACAGGTGTCTACATGTTCTTTCATATCTTGAGCAATTTTTAATTTTGCTTTTTGTTCTTTTTCTCCCTCCTTTTTCCCAATTGGTGAATAAGGAGAACTTGCAATGTTACCAAAGGGGTCTGATGACTGGAATAATATTCACTAGTCTTCCAGAAGAATGGAATAGTTACTTTGAATGGAATAGTAAGTGACAAAATGTTGTACTGTGAAAAGTAAGAATTTATGCCGATTTCTTGATTTTATTGTGCACAGTTTATTACAGCATTAGTTTCTAATATTGATTAATGTGAGCTATTTTGGAGTGTGCTCCTTGGTTTTGGACTTTGTTCAACTGAATTGTGGTTTGAACGTTTTATTTATCATATTTTTGTACATTATAGAAATTACTTTGGCTGGGAAGAGTAAGTTGTTTGAATTTGGCTGATATATGTTCACAAAAGTCTGAATAATTCAAATCATGATGTAAATATTTTTGTTGTGAAGGAGAAATATTCAGTATACTATAGGAAACAAACACAACAAAGTTACAAACAATTTCATCCATTAGCAAATGTGTTATTGCACATCGTGTCTTTACAATGAAACTTTAGTCTTCCAAATCATTCTTTTAAAATGCATTCTGTATAATTTGAACAATAAATAATTTAATATCCTGGAAGTACAAGAGAGGTGATGTGCCTTTTTTGTTCTGGAAACTGAACTTTAAGGAATTTTCATTATGAATTTGCAATTAAAAAATCCTAAAATGACAGGAATTTTTGTGCATTAAGTAAAGAGAATAGCAAGGGGTAGACCTTGTGAATAGGGGTCATTTTAACTTTATTTTGGAGGAAAAGAATCAGAAAATTTAGTGTTTACATCCCATTTTGTTTCTGTATTTATTACTTTTCATCCATTTGTAATTTAATATGTTAATTTCACCTGTAGAGTCAAATCTAGTCATACTGCTGGTTCATTGTGATGATCTAAATTAAAAATGAAAATTTTAGTAGTGGATAGTACTAAATTTCAAAAAAAGTGAAGGGCAGGAAACTTGAGTAACTTAGTTACTGTCTATATACTTGCTCATTGAACCAAAAGATTTTAATGGTTGTCTTTATGAAAAAATATTTTAAATTTGGAAATAAGTTGCTGGAAAATGCACTGGAAAGGATTACATTTAATTTTACCTTGAAATTTAAATGCTTATATCGTATTTTTATTTTCCTTCTATGAACTATCACTTGTAGGGTCATCCAAAGCTTGGATACTGATTATACTGTAAGTACACACTTGTTTAGTAATCAGGAATTACTGGAATATTTCCATTATAAATAGTTTAAATTGTAAGAGTACTTGAACTCTTTGAAGAATAGTGAGGAGAGCCCCCTGTATGGAAAATCAAAAAAATACTTTACAGTTACTAGTGTTTATGATCAAAGACTCTTCTTATGCTTATTAAACACCAAATTGTTACTAGTCCAACAATGATATATTTACTAGAGTGAAGTTAATACTCTGCAAGAAATTCAGTTGAGATTTCATGCATTTTATTTTGTATGCTGCCAAGAGAATTTGATATCATGAATCCAGTAGAATGTTAAATAAACACTTACGAATTTGTAGTATTTCCTCCTTAAATGAGGGTTTTTACTAAATAGGGGTGGCATAAAAAAAGTTAATCCAATGATTTTTCGATATTAAGTGTTTTTAAACAGTTTTAAGTGATGGCCCAAACAAGTTGTAACATGTTTGCTCTATAACATCCAAAAAGTTGCTATTAAATATATCATTCGGTGGCAGCCTCTTTATGTGGAATATATTATTGTATGTCCAGAATTTCTGGTTTTGAGAAAACCAAACTTTAAACTTTGCAGTTTATTACTTACAGAGCAACAAGGTTTGCTTTCCGGAAAAATTCACAATCCCTGTTATGTGTACATATAATCATTGTACACTAAATAGATATGAATGAGGGGCATTCAAAAATTTTATCAACTATAAAATGCCCATGGGTGGAATACAATGTGTGAGCATTAAGCCATAATCTCGTAGTGTGGGACCATAATTTATTTAATTTGCATCAAAAACATTTCAAAACTGTGTGTGACACACTAAGGGGAGAAGTTAATTTGAAGTGACAATAATGTCCAGAAGGCATCTCATCATTTGCTCAAGGATCAGGGAAACGGGAGGAAAATCTCATCGAGATGGGGGTCATTGACCCAGAAGCAGAAGTACAATACTTGTTACAAGTTCTTTAAAATTATACAATTCAAATGGTACATAATACATAAAATGTCATTGTTAAAATTAAGATCACTTTCATTTTGGATGCTTGGTGTAGTCTCTAATTTTATGGAAACAGTTGTGCAGCAGAAAAGATTTTACTTGGGACTTAAACTTTTGTATCGAATTTAATCGTTTAATGTCATCTGGCAACAAGGTGTAAAATAATGTACATGTATTATATGTGAATTTTTTGTAGTGACCTGTTGATACTGTCACGTGATGAATATGATTGCTACGTCGAGTGTTATAGACCACGGCGATTGCTGAAAATATATTCCTGCCCCTAAGTCATTTTTGAGAAAGTCCAACGATTCATAGGTCAAGAGACAAGATTGTGATAAAATACCAAGATTAATAAAGAGAGGTTTACGAGAATCACGTGGGTGCGATTTGCTTATTATTCGTACAATTCTTTTTTGTAATTTAAAAGTCTGGGAGCAATAAATATATTTCCCCAGAATGTAATGCCATCTCTGGCTGGCAAGCTTTCTGGTTCCTAAACATTCGCGAAATATACACAACGAACAGTATGAAGACTGACATAATTTGAAAGAATTCTGAAAGCGTAGCTTAATGAACTTAATATAATATTAAATTCCCTTAAATGTACGTTCTATTGAATGTTTGACTGAATTGAAAGACCTAAAAATGTTGTTACCTTAACATCTGTCAATGGCACACCGCTCATTTTCAGTGAAGTGCAGAGCTGTTTATTTGAAATGGAAAAAAATCATTGAGATTTTTCATTTACTAGTAATTTATTACGGAACCAATTTGAAATGCCTGATATTGTACTATTTACGGTTTCTTTATTGCAAAGAATATTTGTATCAACCGCAAAGAGAACGGGACTTTCGTTTCTAATCGAGTGCTTATCGTTTACTTATGTAGTTGGAAGAGAATAGGGCGTAAAATCGAACCCTGCGGGACTCCATGTGCAATTGGAGAGGAATCGGAATGGTGTATACATAATGTTCCATAATTCCATTAAGGTATTTCTACTCTGAGATCGTTTGAGGTACGAACGTTGCGAATACCACGAATTCCATACGAAGGTAATTTTGAAAGTAACATTTTATGATCAATTTCGTCAAAAGCTTTTGAAATATCTAAAAATATCCCACTAGGTGATTCGTTTTGATCCGTGGATGAGGCGACATCTTTAAGGAAAGAAGATATGGCAGTTTTCTTAGATTTTGTTTTTCGAAACCTGTCGGCAATCTGAAAACGCGTCATGTTTACTAAGAAATGTTTCCGTTCGTACGTGAAAAGTCTAATATTTTTGAGAGAAAAAACAAGAGAGTTTGGATAATTTTGAGTTTCATTTGTGTTGTCTTTTTTAAAAACCGGCTTAGTCTTAGCTGTTTTAAAAAATATCTGGAAAACTTCTTGTGCATAAGGATACATTATATATGAGAGTTGCATAACGGCAGGCGCACAAGTCTTTAACAGACAATCCGGAAATTCATCTAAACTGGTCGAATATTTATTTTTTAGTCTACAGATTATTTTGAGAATTTGGAATAATGGTCTTAAAGCGAGATTTAATTAAGTCTCGTATACTCCGTAAGAACTTAATGTTTCGTAATGCATCGGCAAGTACCTCTTTTTCGTCTGAAAAATGTATTTCTTGGTTCATGTAATAGAAAAGTGGCTTTTCCTTGCATCTATATGTAGTAAAGGACTTTCTCTAATACTTAATTCAAGTTTCTGGTTCCTCGATTGTTTTCGGCGATCCATCCCATGTTGGTCTATTAACAACTCGTGCGTCTACGGGAGCAGATCTCCCCCCCCCCCCATATGCCAAATACAGTTTTTACGGTTTTTGCATTAAATACAACTAAATCTACACCGTTTAAAGAATTATCTCCAATTATCCTCGAACGATCTGGCTGATATATCGATCCCTTGGATACGAATGTTAAATTTTGTTCTTGGAGGGGTGGGTACAATACTATAAACTCCAATGACTTTTTAGAAGGTTTCTTTGACAAACTGCTCGTCAATTTTCGTTTTGAACAGGGCAAAAGCTTTTAAAAATGGCGCGGATCTCAGTGTTATTGAAAAATTTTAATGTCTCACATTTTTTGAAGCGTCCGGAAACTGATTACTCAGACATTTCATGCACGGTTACACGGACAGACACGTTTTGCGGTCCTCGGATACCGAAAAAGTGTCTTATCTTTCAAAACGTCCGTCCATGAACGCCACCAGCGCCTAAACCATACGTATAGTATTTTCCAAAATGTATATTCCCTAGTTGATCTGGCAGTTGCAGCGATTTTGAAACACATTTTTCAAAATTTGGGGGTACATCACATGAAGCCCCCGGGACATTTTCTAACTTCTCTCAACAATAACTCCAGATTTTTCTTTACATTTCTTGTAATAACGTAAAATACACATAAAGGTGACCTAGGTCCGATTTTCACTGATGACTTTGAGTTTTCGAAAATTCCATAACTTTGAGTTTTTTCGGGGACTTCCTACAATCACAGAATTGAAGATAGAGCTTTTTCTGTCTATTTAAATTTGTTGTCCATAATTAGTTCTTTAAGGTAATGTACTTTTTTTTATAATTTTAGTAGTTTTCGCGCAATATTGCAATTAAAAAATTACAAAAACAATATTTTCTCAAAAACTGCTTAATTTTTTTTTAAATTTTTGGTAGGGATAGTTCTAAATGCACATGCACAAGTTGACACAAACATATTGCTCTATTCTTTTGTTTTTCAAAAGTTTCAAATTTTTTTACCTCTCGTCGTTAATATTTATACTAGCGGCAATTTGATCACATATTTATGAGAGTACATGTGCATTAAATATCATGAAGTTTCTTTAAAACGAGCTCAAAATTCCGGATTTTCAGAACGCCATGCTGTCAAAAGCTGCTCCAAATTTTTTCTTCAAACTTTTCGTACGGCTAATGCTAATTGCACTGTTTAAGATTATTTAAAATTAATTCTGCTGTATTCGTTTTTTGTTTCAAAAATTACACTTTTTTTTTTTCGAATACAAATTTCTGTGAAAGGGAACTTCAAATTTTGCATTTACAGTAACGCTTAAACGCAATTTCCTTAAAAACTGATCCAAATTTTTCAATTAAAATTTCCATTTAGGACGAGGTTTTACTTTTCTTTAATGGTTTTAAAGTAATATTTCAGTTCTACTATTAGTAAACCGAAAAATTAAGAGAATGTTCTTTGGGCGGCGATAGATTGCAGCTGGCCAAATTATGAGGCAAGTCAGGGAAGTTAGACCAGACCCAAGAAATTAGAAAACTAACTAGTACGAGAAAGTCTTGACACATTCTTAACACCAATAGTTTCTTCTAGTGTTCATCAATCACTTCCATTTTCTCTTGTAGTGGAAGGGTTTTTGCACGTACATTTCAAAGACATTTTGACACACTAGCGCACAGCTTTCTTACACTATACTTCGAGCGGTCTCTAAATTGTGTGGTCTTTACTTTGTCAACCCTACTACTGCTACGCTAGGTTAACAAGACAGCTTTCCCGAAATTCTATTGTCGACTGACAGAAACGTGGTAAAGCTTTTGAGAATGGAACGGGGCGCGGACAACCAACGTTGAGGATTCGGAATGACAGTGTCGAAGTCGCGCGTGCTGAGTCTTTGATAATCATACTAAAGTCACCGTGATCGCCAAATATTCTCCAACAGCAGGTATACGAAGATTCGGAATGACAGTGTCGAAGTTGCATGTGTTGAGTCTTTGATAATGATTTTAAGGCTAAGATAGTCGCAACGAAACAGTCGCCGTGTTCGCGAAAGATTCTTCGACAGCAGGCATGAGGAGACGTCGTGCACTCTATTTTTTTGAGCATGTGACCCTTCGCACTATGCCATTCCAAAGATAGTACCGCAAATTATTAGTTTTCAGAATTATTAGTCCAGGTAATACTCTTATTTACGTTTCTCTAAAAACCATTCCATTTCCGCGTTAGACAGGTTACTTGCTTTTAAAAGTCATTTTCACGTATAAAATCTTTCCGTTCTGAAACATTTCTTCCGGAATGACAGGTTTCCGTCTTACGTTTTACTGTATCACGTAACCGTTACAAATACGAGAAGTTCGTGTTGTGGTGGCTGTACACATCC